ACAGGTGGCACGCTCAGTTTAACAGATTTTATTTTGTTTAATACCCAATTTTATAGGTATTTGAACTCAGACGGTTGAGTGTAGCCGGTGCACATAAACTTGCAAAGCCTAGCTTTGTTTTCCCGGTGTTGTTTGTTCTTTTCATGTCAAACTTTCGTTTCGGAGATTTCGTTCAAAACCGAAACTATGGGCTCCGGAGAGACGTTAATAGGCTCTAATCAGTTTTGATCAACTAAGGAAAGCGGCGATGACTACAAAATTGTTGCACCGAGAGTAATTCTCAGCTAACCCGCATACCTCTACAATGCGACTTATCTGTCCCCAAAAACCGAGATTGTGTGCGTATCCGCGTTTAACAGTCGTCTGCTCGGTCAACAACACAGACTGCAGGAAAATTACGAAAATTAAACAAGCGCTTCTTGAGCCAAGGACCACGTTAATCCGCCGGCGCCCCACTAAGCAGCTGATACTCGTATTTCATTCAGGTTTTAGTAGCAATCGAGAAGTCACTTTGACGGGCGGGTTATGTATTATATTACGTACTATAGGGGGGGGGGGGGGTCCCACTAAAGCGATATTAGTATATTCTTCGGGTTGAAATATGAGCTTAGTTGACTAACTATTAGTTGAACTACTGAATAAAAGCATATTTGACCAGACAGCGATACTACTTAAACTTAGCCAAATGGTTCTATAGCCGGCAGCACGGAGACAAGCTGAAGAGAGTCTTCATCGGAGATTTACGCGGAACCTCCCTGCATTGAACTCTGCTTCGAATCCTGAACGGAGAAAATTAGCATTTTTTGTGGCCGGTCAACCTGACCAATCTAGACGTATATTGCTGCTGGCTTCGACGGGGGTATAATATAAATATTGGAGGCACGATAGATAAAAAAAATGCCGTGACAGCTTCTAACGTTGCGAGACTCGTCCCCCACCTTTTGAAAACAGATAATTTCCCTCATTCATCATTTGCAGCAAGCGGGTTTTCCTGAATCAAGTAATCAGCCGAACTCCTCCAGTGCGGTCCAGAGGCTTTTTCGGCGAAAAGCAGCCAAGATGAATAGCCAACGCACCGACCGGCGTGGGCGGCTCAAACTTGAAGCTAATTAACCGAACACAACCAAACCCAAGAAAAGCAGCTATCGAACCTTCCCATTCACTTGACTGCAACATTGATGTTCCCTCCAGTGAAATGCCTCGTCTGTCGTCCTCAGTCCATTGTTCTACATGCTTATAAGGAAATCACTTATCAGTTACAAAGTATTCGTCACTTTGAATGTGATTCGAGACACACAAGAAATCAAAACGTTTTTCCGTGATTCCTCCTCAATCAAGAAATCGAAAGCACGCGACCGTGTGCTGTGGAGTTAACGGGCTTTCAAACATGTGATAGAAGACAATCTACTGAGGCTTCACCACACTAATGATCGCTCGGGTAAACGTAAGAAATATTCGAACCTTCGTCAAATTACATTGTTCGCCACCGCGCCGACAACACGTGTCCTCGCAAGCCACCAGAGACGCGGAGGGGCGCGGAGCGACCTGGTCCGGCTGGTTCCCGGTTTTCCCGCTTGGTGGCGTCCGTTTTGCTGGAGTGCATGCGAGACTAGAAATAAAACAGCGCGGAGTAGGTAGACTGGCTTTGGGGGCACATTGCAAAACGCCAAACCAGGGAGTACAAGGAGACATGGGATGGGCATCATTTGAGAGCAGGGAAGCGGTGAGCAAGGTAGAATTTGAGGATAGGTTGAGGCAAATGTACGGGGAGCAATGGGTACGAAAGGTTTTCAGCTATTTATACATGAGGAGTGTAGACACAAAGTGGAGACAGCGCACTAGGAAATTAAGAGGAAAGTTTTTGGGCTATAGCGAAGATACGGAAGAGCAAGTCTCAGTTAAGAAGAAAGTTAAGGCCACAGAAAGAGATTGGTGGCTAGAGGGAATGCAGACAAAGACGGCTCTGGAAAGCTATAGATTAAACAAAAGAGTTATTGCCAAAGAAAGCATTTATGACAATTCTAGGGGAAGCTCATTGCTGTTTGAGGCAAGAACGGGTGTTCTGCGAACCAGAACATACAGAGTGAAGTACCAGGAAATTGATACAGTGTGCACTGCTTGTGGAGAGGAGGACGAGACGGCTGAACACTTGATACTCTACTGTAAAGGGCTTCACCCTATGCCTACCGAAGACAACATAGATTTAATAAAGTCATTGGGTTTTAGAGACAGCGAAGGGAGTGTGGATTTCAAGACTGTAGAGATTACCAAGCAAAGATTAAGTGAATGGTGGCAGAAATCGAGAGAAAACTAGGTATTTTCTTATCCACTGATGGCAAGGGGGTTTCATAGCCTCACTTTCTTTGCACTGCGGAGTGAATATAGATTTCACATTTAAATATTCTAAGCTTAAATGGTAAAACAAAATGGCTAGGTGGCGTAAGCTACCGCCCGATCCAAAGGGCTCAGCCGTATTCATCTATCCATCCATCCATCGTCCGTCTCGGGTGAGAACAAAAATGGCGGAGTGGGGCGTGCCCGCGACGCCAGTGTGACATGTCAGTGACGTGGCTGACAAGCTGTCAGGAGGGCCACGCCTCTTGGCCAAACTCTTCTGGACGTCAGCGCGCAGCTTTCGCAGCGGCGAGGACCCGAAACACAGTTGTTCGCACGGAAGAAATGTGTTCTGGCGTCTCGCCGCAGCGGGGCGCCAGTCACGTGGCTCTCCTCTTCCGATTATTTTATATTTTGTAGCTTAATATTCTTCGGGTGTGTGCCTACTCTTATGCGTTTATTATTCTCGCCTTCGTTTTTACTACCTTTACAAACACGTTCCCTTTCATTCTCTTGCTGTTGACGTTTAGTGTTTTCTGTGTTTCTCTTTTTTTATTTTTTTTTTTTTACTAGTACTATAAACGTCTACTTGTGCCCCGAACGCGGAGTTTTCGAACGCTCTCGGAAAGCTCCTCCGCTAAAGAAAAACGGTCTACTAAAACGTTTTTTTTTTAACCTCCGTTCTCCATTCCGGCGTAGCGGGCCGCGTATGCGCGGGTTGACACCCTCAGAGGGGAGCGGAAAATGGAAACGGTCAACCAACTCTCTATTAATGCAGCGGCCAGATTGGCCAACGTACACTATCCCACAAGTCCACGGAATTTCGTACACGATGTTGACGTTGCAGCCAGTAAGTAGCCAGGAATCATTTTTTTTTTTGGGGGGGGGGGGGGGGGGGGGGGGAGGGGGGGGGGCTGGAATGTCCATGATTGGGGTGCGGAGAGAGGGAGGGGGATAGGGTCGTTTAAATTTCGGGGAGGGGAGAAGGGCGGGAAGCCCTTCTCCCCTCCCCGAAATTTAAACAAAATGGCTAGGTGGCGTAAGCTACCGCCCGATCCATTTTAGTATTGTGTGTTTTTTTGTTTGTTATGTTGAACTTTGTTTTCGTTTCCTGGGGGTTGGGCCAACAGACGCACCAGCGTACGGGCTTCCGCCTTTCTGTTTCGCCTCGCACGCCCCCAGGAAAACACCTGTCTGTGCAAATAAAGATTATTATTATTATTATTATTATTATTATTCATTCATCCATCCATCTATCCAGCCGCATAGTAAGCCGCATACCCCCCCCCCCCCCCCCCCCCCCCCCCCCCCCCCCCGCCCTCTGGCTACGACCCTGGTTGCAGCATATTTATGTGCGTGCTGGAGTGAGCCTTGTTCTTGTCGTTAGTTTTTAAAGTTGATCTTTGGGCGCACTTTTGTTTTAAGTTTACCAGGTGCCGATAGTACTACCTGAAGGTCATATTTAGAGGCTTTCCGGTCCAAGTTGTGGAAGATGTTTGTTTAATTCAAAGTTGTAAGATTTTATACAGCTAACCCAACATTTTCTTTTAAAATCTGGTATGCATTGTTTTAGGGATAATCAGGGGTGCATTAGTTTTTTTTCGGAAATGACGGCGAATATTGGATATAGTCAAGTAGCTTCACAGTTAACAAAGCATAATTTTGTTATGCAATTTTAACAAGATCACATTTGAGTAATGTGCTTTGAAGTCGGGAGTTGTACTGTCTTGGAAACTACTACATGCTCAGAGAATGTACTTCAATTACAAGTATTCTAAACCTCCTTGAAATAGTGCTTCCAAGTGCAATGCAGTACTTTCCAACATTGCTCTTTCTGCGTCGGAAACCCAGCGTTTGAATCTCACGCCTCGCATCCAGGAGGCCGAACCCGCCGAACCGGCTCACAAATCGAAATGGCTAAACATTGCTCCAAAACACACGCCACGCAAAAAAAAAAAAAAAAAAAAAAAAAAAAAAAAAAAAAAAAAAAGTTTTGTTAAAATTTATAAGACAATGCATTGCAGTGAAGTCGTCGAGGGTTCCGCGAGGTACCGCCCCAAACATCCGGAGTTCACCCGTTTCGCTTCGCGCACATTCGCGAACCTGCAGAGCTCACGGCAAAATTCCGGTTCGCAAAAAAACGTTCGCCGAACACATTCGGCACTCCGACCTCTGGCATTTATGACGTAACGGACGGCTTGGCGGCCTACCTGGCCTACCCGGTTCGTCCGCCCGAACTCGTGGCCCGAACCCGAACGAGCCAGCTGTGTTGCCCAGCTACCGTTTCCTCGATTCATGCGTGTTCTAATTGCTCCCACAAAGATTAGTGGACTTAATAATTATAATAATAATAATAATAATAATTTTATTTGCACATACTGGAGTGGGCACATGTGGTGGTGTGCGGGGCTAGGCAGATAGGTGAAAAACGCTTACGCAGAGCGCCTGCCAGCCCGCCACCACATGTGAACTTCTTGGGTTCTGCGGATTTTCTGGCTGTAGTTACTCGTTTCATTGGTTCAATGTTTTTTTTTTTCTCTCGGATTTTGGGTACTTTTACGCATTTTAGAGTTTAAAAGATACGGCCCTAGGTGGCCCTAGTGCACTTCCGGCCCATTTAGCCGCCTACTTTGCCGCGTTTGCCGCCTATTGGTTGTCAACCACGACCGACGACATCGCCCCACACTGCCCACACGCCCCCGCGCAGAGGCGAGCCGTCAGCGCTATAGTTTCAAGCCGTCCGAGCATGGATGTCCGGTGATTTCCCCATGTTGGCCGACAGTTCCGACTTTAATTTTGGTCCCCACGTCGCCTTCCCCCCCCCTTTTTTTTTATCCACTCCCTGAGCTGAGCCAGCGTTTCCGCTAGCATTCCTTGATCGCGGGCAAACCCGACAGCTCCACCGCAGCACGAAGACGAGCGATTTTTATGCTGGCCCATGATCGCGAAAACCATGCAAGAGTCAGCAGGTAAGAAACCTTTTCGTTAATTCGCTCACCCCCGGCAATATCCGCGCTGTTGCTTGCGCGGTGGGAGCGCCGCAGCCCACGGCTCTGAACGAAGCACCAATTTGACGTTTCGCCGCCCGGCGTTATTTCGGAGACCGCGAGAGCGCCGTAATCGAGTTGTGCAACGTTTTTCTCGCATGATCCTGGGTGTTCCCCCACCGCGCTACCCTCTTGTTCGATCCCGGGGCTCGCTTCGGGCCCACTCGAAAGATCGGGGATCACCCTGCCTCTGGTCGGACGCTCGTGTGCGGAAAATACCAACGAAGACGTTGACCGTTTTTTTTTTTTTTTCGTGAACTTTTTTTTACGAACCGGCGAACGACTTCTCGCTCGGCATGCCAATGGCAGGCCCTCCGGCCTGTCACCGCCGGCGCTGACTTTTTATCCGCGGGAATGTCTGTTTTCAGCGAGGTTGGGTCAGTTAGCTGTGTGCGGACCTTTACAAGATGTTATCGGTTTCTTTCGAAGCCGAAGGACGAATTTGTTTGTCGTATACGCTTCCGTTTTTCTCTAATTAATTAAGCTGGCGCGCACGCCGGCCATGCCCGCGGATTTGTAGAAGCAGATGTATGTGACCCCTGCGCCGATCGCTGGTGACAGGAGAGATCGTGAACGCTCGTTGTGTGTGTCTGGATCGGCTGTTGTGAATTTCGTTCGTAGTACGAAGTTCACTTGCGTTCTTCGAGGAACGCCGCCCGCCCAGGGAGTCGTTGTACGGGATTAAACCGGTCCAAGTTTCAACGTCACCAAATTGGACCACCCGGCTGGCTTCATCTCGGCTTGGTTTGACGTTTGAGCTCGAGTATGCCCTGGCAAGTGTTGTCGGTCTTGGTCGTGTTCGCAGTTATTGTGTCTAGCAGTTTGAAATCAATAAGGGATCGGTAGGGTAAACATCCGAATCCGATTATGATGATTGCTATGGCCAGTTGCTCCGTGCAGTGATAACGGTTTATACGATCAACAAATTAGTGCAGACCTCAGGTTAGCATGAGCAGCAGCTGAGTACATTTATGATGGTTAATATCACCAACAGATGGGTGCACGTTAATGATCAGTATGGGTATGGCCTATGTCTCAGTCCACAATTGTGGCCATTAGTACTGCCAACAACAATCTTTTGTATCCAACAGTTGTATTCAAATGTAATGATTACTATGACTCCAAAAGCTGAGAGTAATGCCGTGATCCTTGTAACCCTTATCTGAGTACAATTATAATGATTAGTGGAATCATTATCTGAGTACAATTATGAACATTAATGGAATATTCATTATCTGAGTACTTATGATGATTTGTAGGATTTTTAACTTGTTACAGCTGTGATTATTAGTGTATGGTCTGTCTGAATACAGTTATGGTGGTTAGTATAATCTTTATCCGAGTATAAGCAGGGTTAGCACAATCTTTGTCTGAGTACAAACATGACGATTAGTATATTCCTTATCCAAGTACAGCATGATGATTAATAGAACCCTGCATATGAGCGGATTACCCACAAATCATCCAGAGTTGACTGGAGGATGAAGATAAGAATTAGTAAGATTTGTCTAATTGGGTCTGGATACCCGCGAGTTCAGATCTACATGTTTGCCGAGGCTGATCAGAAACTTGTTACCTCAGAGTGTGGAGTGATTAAAGGAGTGATACTATCAAGTGCATCATCGAATGTTTTGCGAGAGCAAATTACTTTTTTTAAAAAAAGGTGCCAATGGGGGAGAAAATTAATTTTTTCATCTAAGATCGCATTAGAGCAACCTGTCTCGACAAAATGGTGTTTATAGACCCCATTTTGAAGAGTGCAGGAGCATCAATCGTCCGGGAAAGCGTGCTCTTGTCTGGCAGTGAAAGGGCAGAAAATATTTCTCAAACAAAGAAAACCCAAAACATACAAGCCACAAGAAAGTAGAAGCCTCCTCTACAAGTGAAACGTGTGTGTATGTGTGTGTGTGCCTTTTTTTTATTTTCAAGAATTGGCAAGTTGCTGCTAAGTATGTGGTTCGGAGTATGCAGTTCTGGGTTTGTGCTTAAAACTGGAACCACTGAAAGGTGTTGTCATTATTGAATATGATACTTTCCCAGTGGCGTACTCGCATCTTGTCACATATATATGTAGGTACTTCGCTACTTTGAGTAACCGCTTTTCCTCTCCCACTTTTTTATTGTTTTACCTAAATAAAATTACACCTTGTTATGAGTCTGTCCTCTATTAATTTTCATGGTTAGAAAATATGAATCTGCTTAAAGTGAGTGTTACAAAGCAAAAAAAAAGATATATTAAAAGGCACTTTTTTTTTCAGTACATCCTTTGGGCGAAGTGTTGCAGGCTCCCAGAAAGATCCCATAACTGCGATCATCTTTCCAGCGACGCGGAGTGTCTCTGAAAGGATGATCGCTTATAATATGAACACAATAAAACATAATATAATCAAATGACTTTCATCATATTCTGCCTCAGATTTATTTGTGCAACGATAAGCAAACTTTTAAAATACCATCCAGGCACTTTTTTTTTTTCACTTAAACTTGTCTTTTTGTTGTTTCCTTTTAATATAAGATAGACGCATACAGGGTGTCACCAAAAAAAAATTTACAGGGTTTTTTTTTACCGCAAAAAATAAACTAGGCATCGCCGAACGCTCATTCTCTGCCCAAAGGTAGCGCCAGAGGTCATAACCAGATGCCAAAGTTTCAGCTCGGTCCAATACCTTAATCAAAAGTTAAGTGATTTTCTGAAAATTTCATTGAAAAAATGGTGGCCGATGGAGTTTTCAAATACATGGGACTCTATGGCACCAGAAACTGAAAATGGGGTCTATTTTCCCATTGAAATTTCGATAAAATGACTTATAACTTTTGAATGAGGTATCGGATCGGGCTGAAACTTTGGCATCTGGTTGGGACCTCTGGTGCTACCTTTGGGCAGAGAATGAGCGTTCGGCGATGCCTAGTTCATATTTGCAATGAAAAAACCCTGTAAATTTTTTTTTTTTTTGTGACACTCCGTAGATTGCAGGCCTAGTGTGGTTTTGAATTTCGCATATGCGGTTTCAATGCGGATACAAAGTACACAGATGCGGATGCAATAATTAAAGAACATTTTTAATACAATTTATGGTGTGGATACAAAGTCTGCGGATGCAAATCGGATGCTCATGATGAAATTGTTATCCATGCAGGGATCTAATGATTAGTGTGACCAACAGCTGAGTGCAAGTATGATTGCAAATCATTCACTCTGCTATAATAGGTATCTGACTGTAGCTAGGATTGGTGCTGTGATCAGCAGCTAAGTGCAGTTGGGAAGCAGCAGCAGGAGATGAAAAACCATCTGTGTGTATTAAATGGGGTCCAATTCCATCCAATGGGGCCACTCCTGGCACATCCTACAAAACCATAACACTTCCAATTTAGTTGCTACAAGTTTTCACCCCTGAAGCCCAGAATTATTTCCTCGGGAGGCGGGTGGACTAAAACGAATACTGCCATGTTTCTTTGATGACATATTGAGCTCTCTTCACAGCAAAACATTGAAATGAAAGTTGATGTTTTATTTTCAGCTTGCACTTGAGCACTTTTACTTTCAGCGTTGCTTTTGAACTAGCCCCAAGACCCATCGTCATCATCATCATCATTTATTATTCCTTGAAGGCCCAAGGGGCATTATACAAAGAAGTGAACACTTAAAAAAAAAAAAATAACAAAACAAATTATCTACAAAAACACGCTGTAATCTAGTTATGGGTTCGAAAAAATAAGCCAATGGCTGCAGAAAATTTCTTAGTGTCAGATAAAGAGGATAAGGCACTCAAGATTGAAGCTTTACTGCTTCAATCTTGAGCGAAAGCAGTGTCGCGTGAAATGACACACCTTAGTTTCTGGTTATATACACATTCAATGCCATGTTGTATGCAAGGTTGCAAGTGTGGCCTTACATACGACATGGCCTATGTGGCCTTACTCCTATGTGGCCTTACAAGGAGTAAGGCCAGATAAGAGGCCTTACTCCTTGTATTTCTAGAGCCATTCACCAGGCACCACCTATATGAAAAGTATCATATTTCCAGCCCTATCATTGTTGGGAAAGATATGAAAAGGCCAATTCAGATTTCTTATGACGAGGTAACACTGACATACTTTCGGTCTGTGTATATTTTCCAAACTAAACTGGAGTTTTTGCCATATTTACGAGGTCAAATCGACAAACTCTGAATGAGAAATAGTCGCCTCTAACATTGTCCAAATTATTTCAGGCCTGTCGTAAAAGAATGTGAAAAATTGGGATATACACGCAGACTAGAAGTGTGCGAGGGCAACCTAATAAACTGCGTCAGTTTCTTACGCCGTCGTAAGTTGTCGTAGTAACATAGCGTCACATTTAAACGCAGATGTCCGAACGAGCCTTGAGAATTGAAAAAGGAAATTGTGTCCTATGCCTAACATGTAAGCAGGTTGAATTAGCCCTCTTACTGCTCTACATTTTGAAGGAAACAACTTCTTTGAATGTACTGAGTTACACATACGCCTGGATAATATGCCACTTCATTCCAAACAAAAAGAGTCGTCGCTGCCTGTTATGTGGAAAGGAGGAGGGGGAACCCTCTAGAAAAATCTTTTGAACAGCCACTGAACCGCCAAAAGAAAGTGAAGCCAGACACACAGAATGTCACACTTGCACTTTTCCCTTGCACGGTGCAATGTCGGCCAGAGAAGCCTACCAGCGGCATTTGTCTTTCCTGGACACTCGGCGCCTCGGGCGGGTTTTTGGCCCAGTACTCAAGTGCCACGCTATCTGCCCTGACATCTTATCTTCCTGCTTTTTTTTTCTATTTCGTTTCGGGTTGGGAGGCACCGTCTTGAGAGCATTAGATGAGATTAGCATGGTGCGGTGCTTTCAGGCGAATATCCTGTCGGCCTGGAGCACTGCCAAGGCATCCGGACGACAGACGACCCTGTCTCTCAGT